GGCCGTGCTCACATTTTCAAAATCCATGCCAAGTCCATGTCGGTGGAAAGAGATATTCGTTTCGATCTTCTCGCTCGTCTTTGTCCCAACAGTACAGGTAAGTTAGCGATTCCCTCAGAATAGGTGAAATGTTAGTTGGGTAAGGTTTAACATTAGTGATTTTGAAGTTGATTTGAAAGGGGTGTAGAGAAAGGAGAAAATATATATTCTGAATGCAGAAGCTATGAAATTGATTATTTCAGCAGAATGGATATTCCTAATGGGTTGCATTATAAGAAATATAGTTATTCAGGTTGAGGTATGTTGATATAGGGTAATGCCATATCATCAGAAATAAAGTGATTTCAGCTACTGATTCCTTAATTTTGTTTAAATTGAATTTTCATTAATAAAATGACCTTCGTCCATAGGTGCTGAGATCCGGTCTGTGTGTACAGAAGCTGGCATGTACGCCATTCGAGCACGCAGGAAGGTTGCCACAGAAAAAGATTTCCTCGATGCTGTAAACAAGGTCATCAAGGCGTATGCAAAATTCTCAGCTACGCCTCGATACATGACGTACAATTAATTTATGTTGTACAGGTCTTCTGTGGAATATTTTTTAGCAGTACTTTGCTCGTGAAACCATTTCATTATCATTATTATTATTATTTTGTAAAATGAGTGTGGTATATTTATGTATCAAGATTCTTAAAACCGCATCAAGTGGAATTTGATTAAATATATACAATCTAAGTCCCAAATGTATTTTTTCATACCAGAAAAATGTGGAAGTGAAGAGAACTGCAATTATTGAAAATTTATTTGAAACAGCATAGACAGCAAAGACACATCACACCAGAAATAACTAAAACAATTAAATAGTAAAAAAGTACAAAGACTGGAAGGCACAGGCAAAACTAATGCATTTTCATATCCTGTATATTATGGCAGTTTGTTATCACAAAAGTGAAAAATTTACACAGCAGTATTATCTGCTTAGTATCCCTTTGATCCCGCTGAAAAATAAGCCATGTACTTTTTTTCCCATTCAGCCAAAAGTAAGTTGTTAATACAATAAAAAATTTCTTCTCCAGCAGCTGCCTAATGAAATAAAGAGAAAAAAAGAAAAATAGAACTTTCAACATAACATGTATTCTGTTATTGAATGTTAACACAAGGGATGTTGCACTGCTATTGAACTTATCAGTTATCCCCTTGCTGGCTGCCAGGATACAAGCAATGTCGACTGTAGTTTTGTTTTGTAAATTGTTTTCACACAGATGGTTCCACAAATGCTCAGTCAAGAAAGAGTCACTAAGTATGCCTGCATGACCTCCCCGGTTTCCCTCTTTGCTTGAGCTTTTGAGAGTTTTTCGATGTATTATTATTGATACTGTCATTATTATTAATGATATAATGATCATTATAACATTACTGAAATTACTAATTGCAATAAAAGATCCAAAAACAACATTCCAGCAAATCAAGGAAAACAGTAAACAGGTGAGATAGGTAGAACTAATCAACTTCTTGGTGGTTAAATACTTGTGGAGCCATCTGTGTAAGTACAATTAATAAACTACAATCACAGCGACATTGCATTTACACATGTTATCCCCAGTGGCAGTGGGTTAATACTCAACTAGACAGAAAACAAACTAGAGATACTCTTACTAGTAACATCAGCAAAATTATAAATCTCTACACAACAAAAGTAGGTTTATGTAGGGATTAGGGGTTAAGTACTTTTTGTGCATTTTTTTTTTGTGGGTATTATCAAAATGTAAAACTACTGGGCACACTTAATATATGGCATGGAAATTCTAGGTCTTAGATACAAGTAATAACACCAAATTTGCAATATGTAAATAATTTACTACACAATATACTTCCCTCTACCTTACAAGTAACATTAATACTTAGAAACTGCAGACTAAGAGCAGATATAAAAATAAATAAGTTTTAGGATCAAATTACCAGGAAACAATACCTTGAGAATTACCGAGATTCACATCAGGTAAACACTACTCTCTATTTTTTTTTTCCTTATCAATTATATAAATATTGCTTTTAGATGCTAATAACAGACAACACAACAACCAACCAGCTAAATAATGTCATACCAAGAAGACCTAGTTAACACTAGAGTGGTCCATCTGTTTTTTTTTTTTTTTTAATTTTTTTTTTTTAGTTTTTAATATATAAACTTGGCAAACTGATTACTTTTTTCTCTCTTTTTTTTAAATAGGAGGTAGTACAGAAAACACATGCAACATTAAATAGTACTCTTTAATCTTTATATATTTTCTACTCTGTCTTAAGGTTGACTGAAACCACAATTGTGCAAATGACTGTAAATTATAAATGGTCCCAATGGAAAATTCACATGAGATTCGGAACTATAATTTCCCCCAATCCCCTCCAGTTTTAATGCCCTTAGAGCAATATGTTATAAAAGACAAGGTGTCAGTTATATAAAAATATTAAATATACAAATAATACTATGTAAATATCTTGAACAATTCAGTGCACTAGAACCATTTTAGAATACTTCCCTTGCAAAAAAAGGTACCCACCTTAAAACTTTTGAGACCCTTATATACACCATACTTATTTCAAAAATGACAAAAAACCCTTCCCTTATAGAGAAAAGGGATGCATTATTAAAAATTTTGTAGGTAAAACAGCATTGGATTCAGCAAGGTTTCAAGACTAATAATTCCTTTGCTGTCAGTAATAGTCTTCTGTAATTATAGTATTTAAACATTCAACTTCTTAAGCAATTTGAAAGTAACAAGCTTTCACTCTATTTATCAATATTTTCCATTAGCTGTCTTACTAAAATCAACCCACACGACTAGCATTTTTGGTCATTAAACAAAATATCCAGACAGTTAATGTATAAGGAAACAACAGAAATCTTAGGAATTGGAAATAAAAAAAAAGTTTTATCAAGTGCTGATATTTCAACACTTGAGAAATTGAGCCAGATAAAAATCCTGCATATAAACAAGATCTTAATGTACTCTCTACTTGCTTCCTGGCATGCAAGAATATGCAAAACAATTAAAAAGACATACGTAAATAAGATGTTTGTAAACTTAAAGTAAAATTACAACCAATTATTTAATGACTAAGATATTCCTCCATGACTTTCAATATAAATGATCATATTTCTTTCCTTTTTATTTTATACCCAAACACATTTCAAGATGAGACTTGCTAATTATGTTACAGAACTATTTTCACTAACCAGATACAGTACTCTCACATAGGAGAACAGTTTACATCAGCATAACTAAAGACACTGCTAAAAAATAATAATAATAATAATAATAATAATAATAATAATAATAATAATAATAATAATAATAATAATAATAATAATAATAATAATAATAATAATAATAATAATAATAATAATAATAATAATAATAATAATAATAATAATAATAATAATAATAATAATAATAATAATAATAATAATAATAATAATAATAATAATAATAATAATAATAATAATAATAATAATAATAATAATAATAATAATAATAATAATAATAATAATAATAATAATAATAATAATAATAATAATAATAATAATAATAATAATAATAATAATAATAATAATAATAATAATAATAATAATAATAATAATAATAATAATAATAATAATAATAATAATAATAATAATAATAATAATAATAATAATAATAATAATAATAATAATAATAATAATAATAATAATAATAATAATAATAATAATAATAATAATAATAATAATAATAATAATAATAATAATAATAATAATAATAATAATAATAATAATAATAATAATAATAATAATAATAATAATAATAATAATAATAATAATAATAATAATAATAATAATAATAATAATAATAATAATAATAATAATAATAATAATAATAATAATAATAATAATAATAATAATAATAATAATAATAATAATAATAATAATAATAATAATAATAATAATAATAATAATAATAATAATAATAATAATAATAATAATAATAATAATAATAATAATAATAATAATAATAATAATAATAATAATAATAATAATAATAATAATAATAATAATAATAATAATAATAATAATAATAATAATAATAATAATAATAATAATAATAATAATAATAATAATAATAATAATAATAATAATAATAATAATAATAATAATAATAATAATAATAATAATAATAATAATAATAATAATAATAATAATAATAATAATAATAATAATAATAATAATAATAATAATAATAATAATAATAATAATAATAATAATATAACTAAAGACACTGCTAAAAAATGACAAAGCAGAATTTTTTTTTTTTTCTAAGTTATAAGGTAGTACCCATGTATTGTGATAAATCAGGGGTGCCTTACACTTGTATTTTCTTTCCCCTTCTAGTATATTCTTCGGTAACTCATCCTACAGATGGGAAGACAACTAAAGATACTTTTTCTGACTGATCTCTCATTAAAAGTTTGAAGTATTTTATATTCATATTATTGAGAAAAATAACATAATAATTTTGTGGATGATTTAAACCTCTTGATATTTGAAGATGTTTTTTTAATGTAAAATATCGAGCTTGCTCTAAGTTATGTATGCTAAACAACTTGTTCACTTGTTTGGCCTTGACTGCAGTCACTGAGTTACAGCCACACAAAAATAAGCTTAAAAGTCTCATTTTCTAAATAATCTTTTATGCTGCAGCTAAAAGTACAGAGCAGGGGATACATATGTGTGTGTGTGTAGAATCCCCAGTATACAGTTTGGTATGGCATGGGAAAATTGAATCTGTTCATATATTCACTGTGATTTACTATCATGCACACATTACTAGGTCCTTATCATGCTGACATCCCAGGCATCACAGCTTTGTCTCACTCTTTGTATCTATTTAATATATGAAAATGTCTCTTACTACATTTACAACGAAAAATGGATGTAGTATTTTCAAAATTTACAGATCTTTTAGGGGGAAAATGTTTTTTTCTTTTCTTTTTCTTTTTTTCAGTGTGGCTTAAAGCATTATGAGACACTTCAAATGAGACGTGGAGCATTAAAATAAAAGAGAATTGCAAAAAATGTGGACAATGACAACCATAATTACAAGAGTGATTTCAATTATAATAATAAAAATAATAATAATAATAATAATAATAATAATAATAATAATCATGAAAACAGCAGAGATGACAATGAACTGACAACAATGGTGAATAAAATGAAGCAAAAGAAAGCAAAACAATGACTATACAATATACATCGTTTTTTCCACATCTGCAAGTTAAGCAAAAGAATAAAACCTAAAGATATTAACACTGATAAAATAGGAAGAAGAAGAAAAAAAAATGGAAGAAAACATGACCAAATGTTAGTTTACTACAAGCATTTGTATTGGACAATAATATCTGAAGCAATCTTTCAAAAATTTCTATCTAAAAATTTCTCTAGGATCAGCCTGCAATAAGAAACCCTGCATGATAACCTGCTCTATATCTTACATTACTAAAAGTATATTTGCCTTGTCATTTATATGAATATAAATCTCATTTACTATGAAAATTGACATAATTTAGAATTAAATATATTCACATTTCAAATAATACTGTGATGCTGCAAAGTTGTAGTACATCCTTGACCTACAGCAATGCAATATCATCATAATAAATAAGAAAGCTGTCTGATTCTGTGAAAAGTATTATATATTACCCACTACCCTCTTGCAACGAGTTTGTAAATTTTGATGAACGTCATTTTACCAATAATGAACCTGCATGAACGAGAAATAGAAAAATAAACCAATTCTATCAAGGACCTCCGACTACAGATTTGCCAATATTAAAAACAAATAGTGAGAATAACAACCATTTCACAAAAAATCTCAACAAAACATAAAACCCCACACACAAATCAAAAACGTCATGACACATGCATTATACATGTCGATCGTTATCAGTATACAACTACACATAAAACAACAGGGGAAAAAATCTCAATTTGAAATAAATACTACTTCACCCTAAAGAAGACGGAAATCAAAATATGTTTATCTTGTTTTTACTATTCTGTCTATATACTGAAAAAATGTGCAGCTCATACATAGGAGACTCACTGCATATCTTTCACTCATTCATATATCTATGATACAGATTTATGGAAAATAGAAACTTTTTCTTTTATCTAATCCTGTACACTTTCCTCTTGCAAAAAATATGCTTTTACATGCATACTACACAAATGCACCAAATTCATAATATACATTGCATTAAACAAAATCAACATGAAAATTTTCACTACTTCAGTAAACCTGAAATTCTGTATATAAAATTAATATAATTCTTAACTATAACTTTGTTCAAAAAATACTCTTAACATTACCATAGCATAAACAAACCTTAAATTTGTTTAATGTTAAAAACAATACAGTGTCATGTATTATAGGTTTTGATTTAAGGCACAAGAATGATACATAATAGACATTCACACATCTCTGATGTGATATGGATTCCCAATAAAACTTTAAATATAAATATCTAAAAAAATAAAACACACCCTTACTGTTGCTACAAACACAGCAGCAGAAATATTTATGAAAATTATGCAGCAAAAATATTGCTTTGTATCAGGTTAAAACACTTGAGTATACTATAGAGTAATAATCCATGTTGTCTTAATGCAGTCCCCTGAAGGAAGCACAGAATCCACTTAGCTTATGCTCTTTGATTAGGTAGTACTACAAAAGTAGAAGTACTCTTATCCCCTGATTTGTATCCAATACTATCTATCTAATACTTTTTTTCTATTAACTACTCTTTAAATACATTTGAACTGCCTTTCTGAATACTATCATAACTTGCAATTACAGAGTACAAAAATATTTAGACTATTTTGGGTCCTCTTTGCATAACAGACCTCCCTTTTTACCTATACCATTATTCAAAAAGTTAAATTACCTGAATGACAAGAAAGACAGTATATTGGGACATTATGTCATGTACTTTTACAACATGAGGACATCGAGTACTCCCTTCTCATCTGCTTCTGTCAAGAGGTCCAGAAGGCGTCTATTCAATACATCGTTACTCCCCTCTACCAACTCCTGGCCTATTGGACTTAGTACGCTTTTAACACTTGCTCGCATAAAGTATTCTGATGAAGGTTTGAATGCAAATGATACAATGATTTTGGCCAAGCCAGCTTTGATTTTGTCAACCACAACCTTACAAGGATAGCAGCAAGCATTATTAAGACATGTTGACCCTGAATGGTTGATAGTTTCTCCAGCTTTACTTAGTGTTCCCTGAATGAGACACATTCCCATGAGGAAACCCACAAGTGATGTTCTATCAAACTCTGCTCTGAACTGTTCATAATTCCAATTAGGTACAGGAGTACCTAGTTTATTTGTTGCATCCGTAAATGTTGCATGATAATGTCTTAAAATTTCTTCAGCATGATCTCTTCTCATTTCAAATGAGGTAGATGTATTTAACATATAATGGAGGTCAAACACTGGATTATTCCACTGAGATATTTGCCAATCAATGAGTTTCAAAGATTCAATCTTACGAACTTCATCCTGCATTCCTTCACTGTGCTTATACATCAAATTACTATTCCAAAAGTCTCCATGAGTAAGGCATAAAAATTTATGTCTTGTCTGATCATCCCACAATGCTGCAAACTTAACAGGGAGTGTTGTTTTCCCTGTCTCTAATTTATGAACCATATCTTCATAACCCTTTTTACTTTTTAGGAATTTGATGCTATTTAACAAAGATGCCCATACAACTGGCTTGAAAAAACTGCTAATTGCATTGCTAAATTTGAAACATGAGTACTTCTCCAGAAAGTTATGGGACTTATCATAAGCATAGGACACAGCATGCAATCTTGCAATGTGATTCACGGCCAATTTAGCATGGTGGAAGTCAAGACCTTCTTTCTTTGGACCAGTTTCATAACCCAGCACCTTAATATTCTGCATAACTAAGACATATTCCTTCTCAGTACATTTACCGTAAATATACTCGGGGATGTCTAGTCGGAATTCGTTGTTGGCCCTTTCTGCTTGAAAATTATTAAGTTCATTCACTACCTCCGAGTACATCATGAATTCCTTAATGTGATACCCACATCTTTTTATTATTTCGCTCGTCAAGGCATCGCCACTCAAGAATTTGACTACAAGGTTGTACTCCTTTTCTTCCTCGGCATCTGGCCTTCCTCCACCTTTGAGTTTTGCTTGGACGTCTAAAAGAATCAGCTCAGCATTGAAGCTTTCACCAGGTTTTGTGGCTGAAAGATGAAAGAGGAAAATCATCATTATTCAGTTTAATAGCACAATCATAGTGCATTATACAAAATCAGAATGGACATAGAATATAGCAGAAAATTTTCAGGATAATTCTATATCAACCGAAATGGGGGAAAGTATGCATCAGAGTTAAATATTTTTAATAAAAGTAATAATTCTAATAAATCTGTAAGGCAACTGCACAATGAGATTTGTAGTTAATGAGTATGAAACAACCAATAGCATAATGAATAAAACTACCTGTACAATGAGTATGAAACAACCAATAGCATAATGAATAAAACTACCTGTACAAATCTAAAGAAAAGAGTTATCCATAATAAATAATAACAAGTAAATCAGAAAGAATAAACTTAAAAAGACAAAATAAAAACCAACCAAGCAATAAAACATGGACAAGATGTCTGCATCTCAATAATAATACTTTCGTTTAGTAATGCCAAAAATGAAGAATTAAAATTACAAAGTAAAACAGATTACATTACTCAACTGGTAGCAACTGTAAGTAATGCACAGTGCGCTATGTATATTGCAATACATACTGCACTACGGCCAATTTGTAAATCACACTATTATATGCATAAATACATCACTAAATTTATACATACAGGTGTATGTACACACATACGTGGAAAGTATAGGCATTACTCATTTATACTCCAACAATACATTCTTTATCTTACCACACATATATGTGATCCATTGTCTGCTTACAGTGCCATTAGTTAACTGCAGGTATCATAATGTAGTAATGAAGTGATCTATTCATTTTTCACAATCACTAAGGCTCTCATAGTTCTGAACAAACCACAATGTGAGAAAATCACGAAAAACCTTTCATAACTCCTCCGGGTCCTCTCTACCAAACCATACCATAAAATAATGATCTTTTACAAATCTAAATTATATTTAATATTCAACTATATTCCACTTAGATAATATTTAGTGAATTTACTCCCAAGACTTTACAGTTAACCCAGTTAATTAGTTGGCTGATGTGGCCTCTCCGGATTTTTCCTTTCCTCGAGTTACTGGGAAAAATGCTTTTTTCCCTAAAGCTATTAATATCAATGACATTATGATTATGATATTGTTAATAATAATAATAACAGCAATATAAAATAAAGAAGGATATTTAAACATTTGCGGCAGAGATGGTTAAATCTTATCTTACATGTGTAAGAGGCCATTTACAAACTCACTCACTCACTTACTGACACTCTCACTTACTCACTCATTCTCACACTCACTCACTCACTCACACACACACACACACACACAAATAATTAATATAGAGGCCACAGGATATTCTGTAGAACTTTAAAACACTGATCAAGGTTATACTTCCTCTTTTGATAAGGCAAATTAACATTACTCTAATTACAAAGAACTATGTTTGAATATTTCTGCTTCAAACAAGTCTATTGTTAAATAGCATGTAAAATATATAGTCAGTGCAACTAATAAAATAAAGTGTTTGAATTGGAATTTGAAATTTATTTGGCACAAAAAAAAACACACAAAGTTTAGTCCGGATCAACTGACATCCCTTTGAAAAAAATCTCCTTTAACACAGACACTATGCCAGACTTCTAAAGATAAAAGATGTTCTGAGCTGCATATAAAAAAATTTCCACTCAGCCAGGCTAATATCCAATGTACCTCGAGTGGCAACAGCATTTCTCTCTTGCTGACCCCCTCCTGACCACGCTCCCGGTACCCCCTTTTCCTTTGCTCCTTCCCTTCTTCCCAGACTGTGCAATTTTCCACATGTATCTCTTGGATTTTAAATGAATCTGGAAAGATGACTTTTGTGCACCCAGGAGCAGTCCAGAAATCTTAATTTTGCAGATGGCTGTTAACCCAAAGACTACAGATTTATGTAATGTCCCTAACAGTTTTTTTTTTTGTAAATTATGCTGCATAAAAGTGGCTCCACAACTGATGCCTTGGTGATTAAGCACTTGTAGAGCCATCTATGTGTAAAGACGAACTGATGAATTTATATTACAGTGGACATGGGATGTATTCTTGCCATTTGTGCAGACTGGGTTAACCCAATGGCCCCAGGAAAATGTTTCCATACATATGGCTCTACAACCACAAATGCTTTGCCACTAAAGTCAATTAATAGTCAATGTGCCCTCACCTGATTTTCCCCTTCCTTGAGTTTTTGACTTTTTTTTTTCTAATGCTATCAATAACAATGTTGTTATTATCCTTCTTACTGACATCATAATCATCACAGTGTTATTAACAATACTAATAGCAACGCAAAAATCAAATTAAATATTCACAAATATCAAGGAAAAGGGTAAACAGGTGAGATAAGTCTAACTAGTGATTAATTAATTAGTGACAAAGTACTTGTGGAGCCAGCTATGTGTAAATTCAATTAATAAAGTAAATTCACAATGGGCATGTCATATCCATACATGACATCCCTGGCAGCATCAGTTTAAACATAAAAATGGAGCCAAGACATAAGTATCCTTGCTATGAAGAGGAGAATGGATAAGAATGTTATAGATGGCACTGACAGGAACCTCTTTGACAAGAAAAATAATCTATTCTTGTACCTACTTCTTTTTAGTGATAATCATATTTGTATTTTTCCTTAATCCCTAATGAAATCCTCAACAAAGGATTCTACCTAGCTGAGAAAAGCATCAAATTTCCCTCATTTCCAAGACTACTTTTCATCTTTGATATTGTAGAACTCAAATTTACACACAAGGCAAACTATACCTCTTGCTGGTAGTTATCAAGCTGGTAGTTACCACCGCCACAGAAATTGAAATTGGAGGGAAGAGTAAGAGAGAGTATGTGTGTGTATGTGTGTGTGTGTGTGTGTGTGTGTGTGTGTGTGTGTGTGTGTGTGTGTGTGTGTGTGTGTGTGTGTGTGTGTGTGTGAGAGAGACAGAGAGAGAGAGAGAGAGAGAGAGAGAGAGAGAGAGAGAGAGAGAGAGAGAGAGAGAGAGAGAGAGAGAGAGAGAGAGAGAGATGGGGGAGGGGATGAGAGAGGGGGGGGATGAGAGAGAGGGGATATGAGAGAGAGAATGAGAGTGAGAATGAGAGGGAGAGAAAAAGAGAAAGAGAGAAAGGGAAAAAGGGAGAGAGAGAGAGAGAGAGAGAGAGAGAGAGAGAGAGAGAGAGAGAGAGAGAGAGAGAGAGAGAGAGAGAGAGAGAGAGAGAGAGAGAGAGTAATTAATTAATTCTACAATTTTAGCCAGTCAGAGCTCAGGGACTAGAGGCTGGTGGTAACATTGACATGGTGACTTGTGCAATATGGCACGCACATAAGCACGATTTGTGTAAGCCATTAGACTGGAAGACCACTTTTGGCTCTATGTCATTTCAGAACCATCGCCTCAGCGGGGGCCTAGATGACGAACATAGTTGACCACGTTTGATCTGCAGTTTGTTTTCAGAAGTCACTGTGTCAATGTCGCTGCCAGCCTTTGGCCCTCCCAGGGTTGGTGGCTGGACACACTGCACTCAGCGCTTGCTCCAAGACATTACATTGTCTTCTTTCACTGTGTTGTACTCATCAAAAGTCAAGTTATTTAACCACTATCATTATCCAACCAGTCTTTGAATTAAGGCCCCGCAGCCTCAGAGAGAGAGAGAGAGAGAGAGAGAGAGAGAGAGAGAGAGAGAGAGAGAGAGAGGGAGAGAGAGAGAGGGAGAGGGGGGGGGGGGTGAATGTTATTGAAGACTGCTGTGAGACAGATGGAGAATCTATAGTAATGCCATCAAGGCTTTCCCTCACTTTTTCCAAAATTCAAATATAATATAGTGGGAGCACTTTTTGAGCAATTGTCCAAATTATTTATAAGATTAAATTAATTTGTTAAATTTAGTAAAGAGAAGTTGCAGTAAAAGAAAATCAGCATTATTTCTTGGCTCTGGCCATCACCTTCAATCTCAAATGCTGTGCCACCTACCATTTCTAATTTCATAAGTTTTCACAGTGACGGTGGTCTCCGGTGTTTTCTTGCATTCATAATCGCTCAGCATGTACTCCACCCATGCCTTGGTGATTTGTGAACTGGATGATGGTGCCTTCATGATGGGCTGTCAGAGTGTTTCCCTTAATAACACATCTGAAAAAAAAGCACAGACCATTTTCAGTACAATATATATTTACATTTATGAAACCCAATTGATCTAATACTAAAAGAGTATGTACATAAAAAAATCAAACATGTATGTATAGAAGAAAAAAGGATCAATTGATCCTAAACTAACACTAAGCCTGACCTTGATATATATGCAAAGGATGCCTCTAAAACTACCTTGCATTCCTGACCATGTATATTCTAGTAAGACAGAGATTGTATATTTCCCTGGCAATTTCTAATCAAATGTGGAATTACTCCAACCTTTAGCATTATAAACTATACATTTGATATTTGATGTGCACTTATGTAGGTTCCTCATTGACACACAACTATTTTCTGTGTTTGTAAGGTTGTTGTGGGTGTTAATGAGGATTCAACAGTTTTGCACATGATCAGTGTGAAAAAATGGGGTGATAGTTGATAGGATCTGTTTAGTTACCTGCCTTGAAGAGGAAGGTAATGTTTGCACAAAACTAGTCATCATGTAAGGTACTGAAGATGAATGATTGAGTGAAAGTATATTGGATTGGGGCAAAAACAAGGGCAAGCGTACAAGATTTCAGGACTAGGGAAGGGATTGGTCTGGCCCTGTAGATTTGTTTGTATCAAGATCCAGTTGTAATTTCTGCATACTGTTGGGTCAATAAGTCCAGGGATTGAAGGGTGAGTAATGCCTCGAGTGTCAAGTGTTCTTCTGTTTTCTAGATTGCAAATGTGCATTGAGTAATTCTGATCTGTGTTCTGGATTAGTGATAGGTATTATTAACAACAATAATAATAATAATATGAGCACATATCATCATATGATGCATAGCTTTAACCAGCAGATCCTACAGATTGCCACCTTTCCCTGTGTGCTAGGAAAAGTTAGGGTCCTAATAAAAGAACAGAACCAGAGAGACACAAATGCTTCAACAGTTTATCAGTACTCAGGCGCATTGAGCTCAGTGTTCTTGCTGTCTTTCAAGGCTGTGATTGCCAAAGTGTCCTTAATGAAGTTTGTAGCATTGATTCCAAAATTCTTTGCAAGATAGCTGGATATTTGTTTGTGTTTCACTTTTTTTGCATTTTTGATAATTTAGGGGGAAGGTTTTGAAATTGAACCAGTTTTATGGTGTAGTTATGGATGCAGGCATTTGTAGATTCTCTGTTTCTTGCAGTCTGCATTGTTCCCTTGAAAACCAGGAAAGATTGTTTCTATTAGATGTCTTTTGTGTTACATTTTTCTCTGACTGTATGTCTCGGATGTTCAAAGCCATTACAGTTGGCAGAAAATGGTCTTATGTAAGCATCTGGTAATTCTTTACAGTACAGATGCACTTGCCCGAGACTAAGACCCAACGCCACATCACAAAATTCAACAATCTATGTTATCATGATTGGTCGTGCTCTCCAACACCCCATTACCTTTTGTGTCTGCATATTATTTCTTGCAATGATGACTATAACTTTTTGTCCTCTACAAGAATATCATTTGCAATTTGCCCTAACTTAGTTTGCCCACACCATAAAGATTAACCAAGTATCTTAGATGATGGGTTGGATAATGTCCCTGTGGGCATGGGTGCATGGCATAGTATTATGTCCAAAGCTCAGGGATGTCCAAGAGAGTCAGCTTGCTACTTTATATCTAAATCTATATTAGCTCTATAGTAGAGGCAAATACATTGTGCCTCTTTGTTTGTTTGGTCTGAGATCTGCACGAACAATGTCATGGTCAGTTAGTTCTGTGATAACCTGTTAATTGAACTGAACATTGACTATGTGACAGTTTGTTTAGCCCAAAGCTGATGGGCATGGCATGTTCATACATGCCATGTGAGTTTATTTTATTAACTGTTTTTACACATAGATGGCTACGCTTGTTCTAAGTCACCAGTGAGCCAAATACGAGTATTGCCTGCCTCCCTCTTTTCCCTTTTCCTTGATTTTTAAAAATAATATACGTTATCTTATATTACTAATATCAATAACATTATAGTAATCATAATGTTTATAATAAAAATAACACCATCGATATTCATAGCATTAGGGGGGAAAAAAAAAAAATCCTGCACATTCAATCAAAGTTGAAATCGGATAAGGTCACAAGGTCTATAAATAGACTTCTTCAATACTTTAAGCACTTGCAGAGCCATTTATACATTGAGACATTTCACAAAAATTTCTATAATGGGCATAGCATTTTCTACGGCAACAATGAACAATGAGTTAACAATAAGGCCTGGAATATGAACTTAAATAAAATATATATATATATGTGTGTGTGTGTGTGTGTGTGTGTGTGTGTGTGTGTGTGTGTGTGTGTGTGTGTGTGTGTGTATGTGTGTATGTGTGTGTGTGTATGTGTATATGTGTGTGTGTGTGTGTGTGTGTGTGTGTGTGTGTGTGTGTGTGTGTGTGTGTGTGTGTGTGTGTGTGTGTGTGTGTGTGTGTATGACAACCTAATTTGAGATTTAAGAAATATATCTCTTTCTTTTCCCCGGTACATTAAATACTGATGCAATAATATTTGCAAAAGAAATGTCTATCTGTGACTACTAACACTTCCTCTCAGTAATCTGTTCTCAAAATCATGAATCAACTTAGACACAGTTAGTATAATTTCTTAATGTTGAAATATCTTTTCCTTAACCCCTTGGTGCCGGGTGACGCCGATCGGCGTGTACACAAAGAGCTCGAAAGCTGGCGTGCAGCCGAATGAGCCGGCGGCGCGCCAAAGCGCGGCGAGCCAGTGATTCGGGCTGATGTCCCCTACTCACGCGCTCAAAGTCGGCGCGCCGCCTTTGTTTGTTTAAGCGTAGAGTTTTTTTTTTTCTTTTGTACACCCGGCGCCATTGGGTTAAAAGCTCTGGTTAATCTTTATGGTATGGATGCACTAAGCTAGGGCAAACTGAAGATTATATTCTTGTACAGGATAAAAAGTGGTAGCCGTTGGTATAAAAAATAGTCTGCAGTCATGAATGGTAAAGGCACATCTAAAGGGAAGAAAATGCAGAAAATCAGTGTTCCGAAGTTTTAGCTCCATCTTGCTATATATACTGAGGTGAAGACAATGTCCCTGGAGGGTGTTGGGGGGCAGAGTTCCCTATCAAACCTTCCCTCTGGCAGTGCCCAGTGCAATTTAGATTGCATTGACTAGATTTTTTGATGTAGGGATGGGGATTTAGTCTCTGTTGAGTGCATCTGTATGGTAAAGAATTACCATAACTTATCGTATAATTCAATCTCTGTATCGTATGCTCCAGCTATCACTTTCACGCAACATTCCATATGGAGTTAAAAAAAAAATTGCAAGTTATTGAAGTCATTCTTGCATGAGTACATTGACAATAGATTATTGCATGTTGGTATTTTACAGTAAGGTTGAGAATGCACACTGCTGTCGCACTAATGCTAAACCAGCAGTTAGCAAAGATAAAGCATCTCTCACACTCATTTCCATCACTAAAGAAAACAAAAAAAATTGGTGACAATCACTATCAATTTACCAAACATCCTCATATTTTAATGGTTATGTCAGATAGGGTAAGCTAGGCCTCCTATTACTATCAACCAGTGCAAGAAACATAAGCTAAAGTCTATCTGGAAAAGAACTACCTTTAAAAAAAAAAAAAAATGCAAAACAAAACCAAAAATAACTCACCCACCGAACCGCAAACAAAACACAAACAAAAAAAATCACTTGGCTACTCATATGCACTAGGTTTTCAAAGTCTCGCTTCCCACACACACAAAAAAACACAAAATCACACCTCGTTATTTGAAGCAGAAACACCCTCACACACTCATGGAGAGAGAGTAAAAGACGCTCTGTGGGAGGGGAAAGGGACACGGGAAATTAGGGGAAAGGGACACGGGAAATTGGGGGAAAGGGACACGGGAAATTGGGGGAAAGGGACACGGGAAATTGGGGGAAAGGGACACGGGAAATTAGGGGAAAGGGACACGGGAAATTGGGGGAAAGGGACACGGGAAATTGGGGGAAAGGGACACGGGAGATCAGGGGAAAGGGACACAGGAAATTAGGGGAAAGGGACACGGGAAATTGGGGGAAAGGGACACGGGAAATTGGGGGAAAGGGACATGGGAATTAAGGGAAAGGGACACGGGAAATCAGGGGAAAGGGATACGGGAAATTAGGGGAAAGGGACACGGGAAATCAGGGGAAAGGGATACGGGAAATTAGGGGAAAGGGACACGAGGAAATTAGGGGGAAAGGGACACGGGAAATTAGGGGAAAGGGACACGGGAAATTAGGGGAAAGGGACACGGGAAATCAGGGGAAAGGGACACGGGAAATCAGGGGAAAGGGACACGGGAAATCAGGGGAAAGGGACACGGGAGATCAGGGGAAAGGGACACGAGGAAATTAGGGCACAAGGGACACGAGAAATTAGGGAAAAGGGACACGGGAAATTAGGGGAAAGGGACACGGGAAATTAGGGGGAAACTGGGGAAATGGGAATCTCCGTTTCTCAGAACTCTCCCGATGCCTGAGAAATCACGTCCCCTCCCCCTCCTCACTTTTCCTCTCCTTCTCTCTCTCTTTCTTCCTTCTTACCTGAACAAATTACATACTATCGCTACTGTGGAAGCATGTATGAGGCGGAGCGCACGACCGGAGTCCCAGCGCCAATTATATCCAGTGACGAAAGCCCGAGCGGACGCACCCACCGGCGGGATACGGGCTTATGACTGCTCAACTCCAAACACCAAAACATAAACAGCGGTGATGTTACCATTAACCTTTTTGGGACTGTATATTGGGTTTCTTATTTTCAGGAAAATACGATAGAAGTATAGTGAAGGTTTGTTAAGGAACCGAAGCTATCAATAGATAACATGCGTAACAGGTGTGTACGTTTCCCCTCCGGGAATTAAAATTAAACTTGCCGACTGCACTTATCCTCATATTAAAAAAAATATATACGTATTTTTTTCTCCTTTCTCTTCATTGCAGAGTTTTGTCATTAGGGTGATATTATTTAAAAATATATATGTATTTTTTCTCCTTTCTCTTCATTGCAGAGTTTTGTCTCTTAGGGTGATATTACTTAAAAATATATATGTATTTTTTTCTCCTTTCTCTTCATTGCAGAGTTTTGTCTCTAGGGTGATATTATTTGCAATATGAGACATAAGAACATGCAGTACCATTGCAATGGCTTGCGACTCTGAATTTCCAGGTTTCACAAGAGAAACTGTAATCAGACAAAAAAAATATTGTGTGTGCGTCTGCTGGTGTTTATTTGCAACGATGCATGAATGCGGGTTACATACGCGTTCTTATTTGCGTATGCCTGTGGACATACACTTGCGTACATGCGCATAGTCGCAGATGTACTACAAAGACATGCACACAAGGTATATAAAAGTACACATATAGACCTTACACGCACATACATGAAAGCGAGCGAGAGAGAGAGGAGAGAGAGAGGAGAGAGAGAGGGGAGAGAAAGAAGATAGAGGGGAGGGGGGAGAGAGAGGAGAGAGAGGAGAGAGAGGAGAGAGAGGAGAGAGAGGGAGAGAGAGGAGAGAGAGGAGAGAGAGGAGAAAGAGGGAGAAGAGGAGAGAGAGAGAGAGAGAGAGAGAGAGAGTATGAGAGAAAGAGAGAGAGAGAGAGAGAGAGAGAGAGAGAGAGAGAGAGAGAGAGAGAGAGAGAGAGAGAGAGAGAGAGAGAGAGAAAGAAAGATAGATAGATAGAGAGAGAGAGAGAGAGAGAAAGAGAGAGATGAAATCATGTGACCGTGACTGTCTTAAGATTATATAAGAGTATCTTCCTGGGCGGAACCCTTTACATGCCTTCATATTTTTCCTTGAGTAGATCCTGCTCAGTTTGGGACAAGTTAGAGGTGGCAGTGAAATGTCAAAAGTGGTCAATAATTTATGAAAAGACTAAACGATGCTATAGTTCTTTTGGTGATGTTAAATATGTTGCATGTGAATGATGTCAAATAATTTCCAGTCAATCTTTGGCAACAAATAAATTATTCACTTATTCATTTCCTGTTCTGACGTCATATCACGGGGAAAGTTTTCATATCCTGCTGACGGCACAGAGTGGCGTAATAATAACTGCTCGTTCTAAGCTGTTGTTTCTAATGTTAAAAACAAAATACAAGAGTAACGTAAATCACAGATAGCAAATAAAGGTGTAGCAAATCATGAGGATGAGTAAATATCGTTACATTATCTGTTACGAATACATTTTTACAATCGATCTCACGAATGAAATGTCAAAATGCAAGGCAAATCCTGGTTTATCAACCCCACTTTCTACTGTGTCTCTTCCACGAACGCATATCCACAACAGCGATAAACACACTCTCACTTACACTTACACCCACCCAGCCACACAGGCGCGCACACGCGCGCACACACACACTCTCTCTCTTTCTCTCTCCCTTCCTCTCCTTCTCTCTCTCTCTCTCTCTCTCTCTCTCTCTCTCTCTCTCTCTCTCTCTCTCTCTCTCTCTCTCTCTCTCTCTCTCTCTTCCTCTCCCCCTCCTCTCTCTCCCTCTCTCTCTCTCTCAGACACTTACAAAAACCTTTTTATCTGTAAGAGTAGCGTTAATCATCACCAGTCACACGAAACGAAGCGAACTACCCTTGCATCACATCCTGGTAGTAAACCCTGGCAGGGACCAGGCGATAGCCAGAATCTCTCAAAGCCTCGGTATGACGCAAGACGCCGGGCCCCGAGGCAACAGATACCCCAAGGTCAGAGTAAACATATACACAGATCGGCAAGTAAAAGCGTGGAAACGTCAAACATACTTGAGAATAATATGTGGAGGTTATGCAAAGGCACTTAGTTCCGTGGGAATGTGAACTCAAAACCCATTTCATTGACTAATGTAAAGTAGATATGCAAATTATAGAGTGATATTGATTCAGTGATGCAACTTCTTCTACACGGCGTACTTGAAAAGGTAGATAAATAATCATACAAAGTACAAGGTACAGTGACAGTGAAATAATATCCTACCACTACACAGAATAGTATGGTGGGTATGGTTTTCTGACTACGTCTCTCGTGAATGACTAAGACACATTCTTATTCAATTTAAATGTCAGCACTGATTTGTTTTTCGGACAATTAAAAGTCCAAACATGGCCTGACATGCACAATACAGGAACTGCTTATCTTAAATACAGTTAATGTGTGCACTTCTTTCTCTCTCTCTCTCTCTCTCTCTCTTTCTCCCTCTCTCTCTCTCTCTCTCTCTCTCTCTCTCTCTCTCTCTCTCTCTCTCTATCTCTCCTCTCTCTCTCTCTCTCCTCTCTCTCTCTCTCTCCTCTCTCTCACTCTCCAGCTCTCTCACTCTCCAGCTCTCTCACTCTCCAGCTCTCTCACTCTCCAGCTCTCTCACTCTCCAGCTCTCTCACTCTCCAGCTCTCTCCCTCTCTTCTTCCCTCTCTCTCTATATGTGTATAAATATATATTATATCTATATAATACATATACAATATATATAATATATATACATACATACATACATACACACACACACACACACACATGTATATGTGTGTGTAGGCATGTATATATGTACATATATAGCGTATATACATGTATACTTACACATACACATATACATATACATATACATATAAATATACATACACATACACATACACACGCACACACACATATATATGTATATATATATATATATATACATATATATGTATATATATATATATATATATATATATATATATATATATATATATAACTTGTATAGACATATATTTCGTAACTCATAATCATAAGTCGCACGTCCAATATTTATCAAGACTTTCACTCCACATTTCCCACCATCGAATGTTATAATGATATTACATCATATATTATTCCAGTTTTCCACAAGACCGATACCTTTTCCAACCAGACCGCTTGCCTGAGCAACACGAGCACTCTTTCCACGTTATATAATACTCCCCCCAACACTACAGTATATATATATGACTTGGCACTCATCACACAGACCTTCCTCGTCGCACAGTTGTTCACATCAAACTACCGACAAAACTACCGACTCAGCTGGTTCCCCTAAACAGCTGGTTCCCCTAAACCACGCTTTCCTCGAGGTTACTGCGGACGCCCACCCTGACCGCTTGGCCCTCTGGCGAGTATTTCCTCCACGGTTAAGGACTGGGTGGAAGTATTCTATCGTGTGACTTGTACTGACACACTATGGGTTGAAAGGGGGATTTAATTCGGGTGAATAATGGGTGTGGTTATTGTGGTCGGGTGTTCTGGGGACGGGATTTATTGGGTTGACTTGCTGTGAAATGTTTTAGTGTTAATGTATGTTCATCAATGGCTCTGCGTCTATTAATTGAACAGGAGAGAAATTAAATGATCATAATAAATGGAATGGTGAGGATGGTGACAACCACAACGATCATAATAATAACGATAATTATGAAAAATTAACGATGAATATGATAAAAAAGTAATAATAATATTAATAATAATATCAATAATAATAATATTAATAATAATAATATTAATGATAATAATAATAATAATAATAATAATAATAATAATAATAATAATAACAATAACAAAACAATAATAATAATAATAATAATAATAATAATAATGATAATAATAATAGTAATAATAATAATAGTAATAGTAATAACAATAATAATAATAATAATAATAATAATAATAATAATTATAATAATGATAATAGTAATAATGATATTAATAATAGTAATAATAATAATAGTAATAATAATAATAATAATAACAATAATAATAATAATAATAATAACAATGATAATAACAATAATATTAATAATGATAATGATAATAATAATAATAATAATAATAATAATAGCAATAATAATAACAATAACAATAACAATAACGATAATGCTGAAGATGAAAATGAAGATATAATGATAATGGCAATGATGATGATTATGATAATTATGAAGAGTGTAATGAATATAATGATTCTACTACTTAAAAAATAATCATGTTAACAACATTATCATGATCAACATCATTACAGAGCTAGAACTGCGAACTAACATGCTAGAGCACTTCACGTAAATAAAAAACAGTAATATTTTTTGCAAGCACACTAATTAACCCAGCCTCTACACCTACACTAATTAAGGTAAGTAAAAATAATCTAGGTAATATGGGGCACGGGGAAAATATATCTGTGTTCCCTTAGTTTCAACTCGAGTCCCTCAAAAGTAATCTATTCCAATATTCTTGACTGGGATTTAGAAACTGTGTTTTAAATAAGTTCATGTATTATAATTATCTATGTTTAAAGTGTGAAACCTCGTAAGGAACACCCCGAACTAGGGTCACTAATTTCGCTTGCATAAATAAAGTTCAGTCGCCCTTAAAAAAAAAGAAAAGAAAAGAAAGCAAGAAACATGGGAAAAATAGTCGATGCCAGCTCAGTCTTCCTATTGTGCCATAACTCACAATGGCCAATATTAGTAACATGCACGGAGTACTGATTCCAAACAAAGGAGGGTGAAATCTATGTAAGACGAGTTATATATTTTGGGGCGAACTATGTTAATGGCGTATGGTCTTTTCTCTGTCTGTCTGTCTCTCTCTGTCTCTGTCTGTCTGTCTCTCTGTCTCTCTCTCTCTCTCTCTCTCTCATTGTGTGTATGTAAGAACAGTATGCACTATATTTAAGCGATTGTCTGTTACCGTTGTTGTTGTCTT